AACTGTCAGCTAGCGTACAGAAACTGCCGCAGCCTTGGCTGCTTATGTACGCTGATGATATCGCACTGGTAGATGGGGACAAAGGACGGCTCACCAGACGCGTGCACGCATGGAGGGAGGCGCTTGAGAACGGCGGGCTGAAGCTAAACGTGGCGAAGACGGAGTATATGGCCTGCAACAGCACAGATCTGACGTCTCTCCGTATAGGCGACGACACCGTTGAGCGCACGGACTACTTCAGGTACCTCGGATCTGTGCTTGATGCGTCCGGTGACATCGATCGCGACATCAAGGCCCGTATATCAGCGGCTTGGGCGAAATGGCGCGAGGTGACGGGTATCATTTGTGACCCCAAAATGCCGGTCAAGCTGAAAGGACAGGTCTATAAGACCATCATAAGGCCTGTCCTTACGTACGGCAGTGAGGCGTGGCCGGTGCTGGAGCGACACCGGCAGTTGTTGCATGTCACGGAGATGAACATGCTGCGGTGGATGTGGGGCGTCACGCGGAAAGACCGTGTACGGAATACATCCATCCGCGGCAGCCTCCATGTCCGTGACATTGCTGACAAGCTGCAGGAAAGTCGCCTCCGCTGGTACGGCTACGTCTTACGACGACCAGCAAGCTACGTGGGAAACAAATGCCTGGACATGACCTTACCTGGTACCAGGAGTAGAGGACGGCCCAAGAAACGCTGGCTTGATGTCGTGCAGGATGACATGCGCGCCAATGGGCTAGTTGTGAGGGACGCCGAAGACCGGGCAAAGTGGAGGAGAAAGTGTTGGAAAGCGGACCCTGGGTTCTCCCGCGCTGGGCGGGATGAGCAACCGGGATAAACGCTAGGTAGAAGAAGAAGAAGATTGAGACCAAAAACATTGTAACATGAACATAGTTAACGTTAACATCCGCAGTAGTCGAGGACTGTGTCGCAGATGTTAGCGCCCACTTCACATACAGACAGGCGTTTCCATTTAAAAGTAGTACATAATAATATTTATAGTGACTTATACTAAGGATATAGCAAAATAATCTAAGTAATTTAGCATGGGTGTGTGTGTGTGTGTGTGTGTGTGTGTGTACGTATGCGTGTGCGTGTGTGTGTGTGTGTGTGTGTGTGTGTGTGTGTTTTTATTTGCGTGTTTGTTTAAGAACTATTACTCAATTATAGATTCCACCTCGTCATAATCAAGGCTTAGTAGCCACTCATTCACCAGGGATTTAAATTTATTTTAAGGCAAAGGGTAAATGTTTAATTTTTTATTTATTTTGTTGTAAAGTACCGGGGCAATAAAGTCTTAATGTTATTTTACCACTATAAGCCCACACCTCACCGTAGAGCATACTTTGTCTTTTCTTCTTACGAGTATATTCTGTAAAATTTTAGGATCATATGCAAGAGTTTGCAAAGAATCGTATTTAATATAAATAATTTACGAACGGAAAGAACTTCCCAATATTTAAATATAAGTTTAGTTGAATACTTAATTGGCTTGGAAGCCATTACTTTCTTCAATACAGCCCTTTGTGCCCTTTCGAGTTGTATAATGTTAGTTTTTCCGGCAGCACCCCAAATAGTAATGCATTAACTGATAATGTATTGAGCTAAGGCAAAATACGCAGTCCTAAGAATCGCCACGTCAGCGCCAACACGCAGCTCGCTAAAGATAAATATAAGTTTCCTAATACGTGACGTTATACATTTAATGTGTTCACTCTATGACAACACACTGTCGACCACAACACCTAAATACTTAATGCTGTGCGTACGCAATATTGAAACACAGGTACAAGGAATTTGCGTATTACATTTGTGAACATATATTTCGAAAGAGTTGTGACGAAAGCCTAGGGGCAAATGTAATAATCTTCATTTTGCTAAGATTTAATGTGAGCAAATTTCGAGACAGCCATGTCATAACTATTATAAATTTACATACAATATAGCAACATTATCAGTGTTAATTCATTAAAAATATATTATTGTAACACCTTCGGGAATGATTTATTTCAAAACGTCGAAAAAATATGTTGCGTAAACACATTATATATATATAATATTATAATAATATATTTGGTGCCGTGGGGTCCTGAAGCAAGGCGTTTGTACAGAGGTTTTTTATTTTTATAGGATCGGGTGACAAACGAGCACAAAGTCCACCCGATGGTAAGTGGTTACTGTGACTCATAGACATCTACATCTATCCTCAATAAAGACTCAAGATGCAGATGCGTTGTCACCCGTGAGGACCAAGATGGAATGCCTCTTTGCCAGTAAAAAGGGTCTCCGGGTCTCTACACTGACCATACGAAATACAGCAGCGTTAAGCTGCTATTTTACGCTGGTTTTCTATGAGAGCGTGGTCCTTCCCCGGTCGAGCCGACCCATTCGTGCTACAACCATAATATAGCTGCAGCATGGCTTTACCACGCAAATATATAAAAGATATCTAATCACGCCTTGTCAATGTCTCTGGTGACCAGCTGGCAGATATTTTGGTCAGCGGATCAGCCTCGCAATACAGCGAGGCAACTCAGCTAGTCTTTTGGGCACACTACCAACAGACGGCGGCGATTCAGCTAGTATTTTTTACTTAAATCAAGCTTTACATACCGTATTATTTTTTATAGCACTTTTTTCCTTTAATATATTTATGCTAATTAGAAGTATTTATGTTTTAATTTGATTTGTTTGTGTTGTATTTTATGTAATATTATTTGCTATGTTTCCTATATCTTCTTATTTCTTAAAGAAGTTCTCAAATATATTTATTTGTATTTTTTTTCGACGTTTTGAAATAAATCATTCCCGAAGGTGTTACAATAATATATTTTTAATTAATTAACACTGATAATATTGTTATATTGTATGTAAATTTATAATTAACGTTATTCATATATGGCTGCAGCGTGGTTCTACCACGTAAAAGTCTTTGTATTTACCTTTGTGTTTGTGCAAACCCCCCAGCAATCTTTGAGGGAGGCCTATGTTTAGCTGTTGACTTTTGATAAGCGTTAATGAATTAACGTTTGTAGGACTATCGAGATAATGTGTATGGTATTAGAGTCTGTCGCAGTGTACGATGGTGGAATTCAGAATTATTCCGAACAATTTCTCTGAACATTTCTCGTGGTACATGCGACCGACCTTCGCTTTATACTATCGGCTGGCTGGCATGGAAATCGTCTCGACCTATTCAGCACACCAAGCTTTTTAAAGACCAGTATAGACTTCCCTGCCGAGTGACTGCGGAACTGTATGTCACTCAATATGTCTACGCCGAGGATAGGGAGATAAAACAAAGGGGTTCTTTTTAGCAGTAAATGAGCAATTATTTGTCTTCGGAGGGTTAAAGTGGACTAGATTTAGAAAACTCAATTTTAGACACAAGTTTACTCTGGCAGTCAATGATGTGTTAGGCGATAGCACGCTTTCTTGTGAAACTCCAGCATTCACAGGCTTGCAGTCGGAGCGTGCACTGTCGACGACAACCTTGATTCTACAATCTGCGAAACATCTGTTGACCTAATTGCATTATTTTTTGGGAAGCCCATAAGAAGATAGCTTCGAAAGAAGCGCTTTATGCCAAATCCGATCGAAGGCTTTAGGTATAGCGAAACTAACCTCTAAAGCCTCCCTCTTGGCCTCGGCTACCTCCGCCCATCGGTGAGTCAGGTAAACAAGAAGATCACTAGCTGAGCGATCTTGATGGAAACCGTATTGGAGACTACGAACTAATAAGGTGAGGCTCCTCAATATACCTCATGAGCTGACAGTTAATAATGGAATACATTATTTTGGAGAACAAGAAGGTGATGACAATAGGCTTTTAGTTTTGATGGGTCTGAGCGCTCAACTTCTTTAGGGTTCGGGTGCACTAAGGTTGTCTTTCATGACCTTGGAGCGACGCTTATTCTTTATGATACAATTTTCAAGACAGTGTTAAAAAAAGTGGCGACGTAAGAGGATCCCTAGCAATACTATACTACGTGGTAGAGCCATGCTGCAGCTATATTAGTAGTAGGTGTAGTTGTAGCACGAATGGGTCGGCTCGACCGGGGAAGGACCACGCTCTCATAGAATACCAGCGTAAAATAGCAGCTTAACGCTGCTGTGTTTCGTATGGTGAGTGTAGAGAACCGGAGACCCTTTTTACTGGAAACGAAGCATTACATCTTAGTCCTCACGGGTGATAACGCATCAGCCTTTTAATTCGTAATCAAGAAAAGATGTAGATGTCTATAGGCCCCAGCAACCACTTACCATCAGGTGGACTGTGTGCTCGTTTGTCACGCTTATCCTATAAAAACAAACTTTGAGGCCTAAGTTTGCCAATTTGTAATCTTTAGGTATTTTGAGATTATTTAGTGTTAAGGTGGCGTTGAAATAAAACACTATTTCTGAGAACAATATAGTATTTCATTGTTTAACCACATTATATACATTCGAAGAGAGGAAGAGAGTAACTAATACATACGGTGCCTACCCAGCGCCACCACGTAACAACATGATCATTACGTAAAAATGTATTTATTCACTGCAAGTTCTTTTTTATAAAGGCTGTCCAATATGATGACAACACCAAATACGCTACAAGTGAAACAAAAATAACCATTTTATCATCGGGAAGATGTGAAACCAAACATTAAAAGTACATACTTATTGAATAAAACTATTTTTACAGATTTAATAGCAATTACTTTTACTTAAGTATTTTTTATTCCCGACGTTTCAGGTACTTAATTTAAAGCAACCATGGTCACGCGGGAACTGAGGTATTTGCTAGGGATCCTGTCATTAATAAAATGTAAACTAAACCCAAGCATACCACTGCAAGTCTTGCAAGATACAGTTAGCTCATTCTGCGTAGATCGGAACACAATTAATAATTAAAAACTAAAAGTACTCCGGAACATCGGGACGTCAACCACCTCAGTTCCTCCGTGACTATGGGTGCTACAAAGCACCTGAAACGTCGGGAAATAAAAAAAAGTACAATACATTAAACTTCATGCTCAGTGGGTTGCGAGGACTCGGGTTGTCGTCCCGGTGCTCTGGTGGAGTCCAAACGCTGCATCACCGATACGTACGTAATCACAGCGCTACCTGTTATCATGCTCGCATTCACAATGGCCAGAGGCTGAAACATAAAACAACATAATGATTTCTTATATTTACACGAACACTACACATTGAATAAAACTATGTTTACAGATTTTATTGCGTTTAATTTATTTACAGACGTTTGGTGTGCTTTACAGCAATTCTTGTTCTTGCAAATTTGGGTTGCTGTAAAGCACCCGAAACGAAAATAAGTAAATTAAACGCGATAAAATCCATAAACATAGTTTTATTCAATGTAATAACATATTGTTAGGTTAGACGTAGTAGAGCCACGCTGCAGCTAAATTATGGTTGTAGCACGAATGAGTCGACACGACCGGGTTAAGAACACGCTCTTACAGAATACCAGAGTATATTAGCAGCTTAATGCTGCTGTATTTTGTATGGTGATTAGTGTAGAGTACTAGAGACCCTTTTTACTGGAAAGAGGCATTCCATCTTAGTACTGGGGGGTGACAACTCATCTACATTTTGATTCTTTATCGAGGAAAAATGTTGATGTCTACGGTTCATATTTAACAAAAGGCAAGTGTGAATTTTTACAACAATGCTTTGGATGTCTATTTATTTTTTACGTTTAATTTTAACACGCGCAATGAATCCAAACTTGTTTTTCCAAATGCAGAATTCATAAAGCTAACGGCTCATTTTTGCATAGATTCATAGCGTATGTAAAAAGCGTTCTCATGAAGAAAGGATAACTTTGATTCTATTTATCTCTTTTAATTATTAATAACTGATTAAATAATTAATTAATAGTATGAGCGATTGCGGATTTGAATTGAGCGTTTTGTGAGCAATCAAGAGCACTTATTCATTTTAAGAAAAGTTAATTGATTTACGTATAATAGGCAAAACTATTTTGTACTTTTAATTATTAATAACTGATTAAATAACTAATTAATAGTGTGAACAATTGCGGATTTGAATTAATCATTTTGTGAGCAACTAAAAGCACTTATTCATTTTTAGAAAAGTTCATTGGTTTAAAGTATAATACGCAAAACAAATTTTGTACTTTTAATCATTAATAACTGACTAAATAATTACTTAATAGTGTGTGCAATTGTAGATTTAAATTGAGCATTTTGTGAGCAATTAAGAGCACTTATTCATTAATCGGAGCGATTTAGGCAAAAACAATTTTGTACTTTTAATTATTAATAACTTACTAAATAATTATTTAATAGTGTGAGCAATCGCGGATTTAAATTGGTCATTTTGTGAGCAATTAAGAGCACTTATTCATTTTAAGAAAAGTTCATTGGTTTTAAGTATAATAGGTAAAAACTATTTCGTACTTTTAATTATTAATAACTGATTAAATAATTAATTATTAGTGTGAGCAATCGCGGAATTGAATTGAATATTTTGTGAGCAATTAAGATCACATATTCATTAATCTGAGCGGTTATACCTCCAAGCCAACTTTTTGTGGTGGTATTATGCTGCTATTTCAAGCTATTCTACGACTACGGCTAAGGTTACGAGCCGTGGCAGCTCAGGCGCTAAGTGCTCGCTGTAAATATCACAGTACTACGCGAGCAACCCGGGTTTGATCCCCGCCAGCACCAATCAATAGATTGCAATTTTAAGTGCAGATTTACCACGGGTATGGCGGTGAAGAAAAACATCGTGAGGAAACCTGTATGTCTAAGAAATAATAGTGAAGTTCGTCAACACGCATTGGGGCAGAGCGGCGGACATTTCCTTGCCCTAAAACCCTCTGAGAAATGAGAGGAGGCCTGTGCCCAGGAGTGGGACGAATATAGGTTGTAAATTTAACTTTTCAATGTCACGCTAATCTTGCTGCAGCTTGGCTCTACCACGTACACTAATAATTCAACAGCGCTGAATTTTCAGTTAGGGAAACCCTTATAATATCGGTGTCAATCTGTCAGTCGCAAAAAAAGATAGATTGCCTTAATGCAAGGTATGCGGGTCTGAAAGGTACTTAATATGTCATTTATCATCGTATATTTAAAAGCATTAGAAAGCGTTTACCCAGAAGTCATTAAAGGTCTATTCTGCCTACGTTTTCAATCTGGAATATACATATAAATTATTATGTTAGGTTTCGTATTTACATTTACATGAACATTTATGTAAATTACGTCGTTACGTTGACGAATATAAAAACCCTTTTTTACTACCCGACTGCCCCAGAAAGAGGGTAATAAAAATTATATATTTCCATAGCACGCTCTGTAGCCTGAACACCTTGATGGATATTAAGTTAGATTCGTCTTAATTGTGGGAGTGACTTAGGCTATTATTTATGTATTGCATCTGCTAATACAAAAAGGGGGAGGGGAAAGTTATATTGTGTAAAAAAAATTTAACCATTTTGCTTACACAATATAAATCACTTTACAGGGACGACTTACGTAGAGATATTTTTATGGTAGTTTGACTGTGGTAGGTAAGAGGGAAATCTCTCTCTGGGCAAGGTGAGAGGTTATATTTTTAAACATAATATTTTAATCAGTAAACCTTCAAGTTTAAGCGAGCGTGAAGGAGATCGTTTATTTCTGAACATTATAAATTTTTTCAATTCGTTTCAATGAAGAGCGTCTGTTGTTTAGGGATTTGAATGGAGTTAACAGTGCATCTTTGGGGTTGTTTCGATTTTATACATAACATTCCTATACCCGGGAAACCGCCAACGCTCCGTACGTACGTAATTTACACGTGGTATAACCACGCTGCAGCTACCTATGGTTGCAGCACGAATGGATCGACTCGGAACCCCGCACCAGTGTAAAATAGCAGCTTAATGCTTTTGTGTTTCGTATGGTGAGTGCTAAAACGGGACAACTTTTATATTGGAATCGAGGCATTCCATCTTATTGCTCAGGGTGAGAACGCATGTGCATTTTGATTCATAATTGAGGATTAATGTAGATGTCTATGGGCCACAGCATCTACTAGTGGTTTAGTCTAATAAAACATTTATATGATAGCTTTATTCACTCCGTGTACGTAGTCAACGACTCCTACCATGTCGCAGAAGGTCATGCTGAGTATTGCGCTCACCAGCAACAAGATTCCCAACGCAGTCGAGAGAACTAAGTCCTATGGGAATAAATTATCATATTAGCTTTGTGTAGCTGTGACTTTACATGGTAGAGCCACGCTGCAGCACTAGTGGCTCGGGTCGACCGGAAAAGGGCCGCTCTCGCTCTGAACACCAGCGTGAAATAGCAGCTTAATGTCAGCGTAAACTCTCACAAGGTCTCCCGCAAAAGGTACATGAAGCGATAGCGGTAGCTTTTGAATGTCAAAAAGCTACGCCAAGCTACAAATAAGTGTTAAAGTCAATATTTATGTACTTCAATAAAAAAGCTACTAGTAATATTGTAGTACTACAATACATTGTAGTACTACAATTGTATTGCAGAGGTGAACGGCATAGTCGGGAAGGGTCGCCCTAGGCGAAAGTTTATCGACCAAATTGGCGATATATTAAAAATGGGTCAAATCAAGAGTACCTTTAACCGACGAGCGTGTATGCGTAGGTATATGGATTCCACATCCATATACCTACGCATCGAGGAAGCGAGAGAGGTGTGTCAGGATCGTGCCAAATGGAAGTCCATAATCTCTGCCTACCCCTCTGGGTGACAGGCGTAAGTGTTTATGTACTACAATACATATCTGCAAGTGTAATCATGCTAACGATATAATCCAATTTATTATTATAATAAACTCAGTCTTATTTCATCATTCGGTTGTTTTACTCATCTCCTGGCATTCGCCCCACATATTGTTCCGGGTCTGGATATGAAATTATCCGCAACTTGTGCAATGTTTATATGTAAACCGCTTACACAACACAAGAGAAAATTCGTGTGTGGGTTTTTTTTTATGAAAACTTACGGGTTTAATAATATTATCAATAATTTTAAAAAAGCGATGTACTGATATACGGGAGAAGAGATAATGTAAATATTCCAGAGTAGTATCGTGCTAGTAAAAGATTCTTTTTTTTATATAGTTGACACACGAGCACACAGTCCACCTGATGGTAATTGGTTGCTGCGGCCCATACACATATCTACATCTATCCTCGGTTACGAATCAAAATGCAGATGCGTTGTCACCAGTGAGGACTAAGATGGAATGATATATAATTTATTGTACACCAGAAATACATATAAGAGAAAAAAAAACATAATTTATTTAAAGGTACAATTGGCGGCCTTATCGCTTGGGAGCGATCTCTACCAGGCAACCACATTGCAGAGGATAAAATGACCTGTGAGAAAGGGTAAGGGTGTACGTAGGTTGTTAGAAAATACACACGACATATATATAATTATATAATCAATAAATACATACATACTATAATAAATAAATACATTTTAAAAACAAAAATATAGACATACATATACGAGAGCAGAAAGGATTAAACAAGTAAGTGAAGTCAAAGCCTTAACGTAAGGAAAAATGAGTAGGTAGTAATTTTTTAGAGGAATGACTATTTAAGGAGGAAAGAAGTGCGCTTTCACAAGTTTTTTAAACTTATCAAAAGACTGCGCACTTCTAATGTGCAGCGGTAGGGAGTTCCAGAGCCTAACAGCTTCAACAGAAAAGGATTTAGAATAGAAGGAAGTGTTATGAGATGGAATTTTAAGGGTGAAGTTTTTATCACAGCGAAGAGAGCGACAGTGAGTGTCACCAAAAAACTAAAACCGCTATTTAAGGTAAGTAAGGGTAGTTGAGTGGGATTGAATAGAATACAGTATAAAAGAGAAAAAACGTGAGTATTCCTGCGAAGACGGATCGGAAGCCACTTGAGTTTTTCGCGATATTCGGAGACATGGTCATATTTTCGAAGTCCAAATATGAGCCGTATGCAAAGATTCTGAATGCGCTCAAGTTTATTAAGCAACTCCTCATTTAAATTGATATAACACGTGTCAGCATAATCGAGAATCGGTAAAAGGAGTGTTGTGCAAGCGCAATTTTGGTAGGTATGGATAGAAAATTGCTTAATCTACGGAGATATCCGACCGACGCAAACACCCTCCTACTCACCTCACTTACCTGCGGAGCTCAAGAAAAAAAAATTGTCAAAAGTAACACCTAGATTTTTAACGGTGTCTCTATATGGCAAGGTGTGTCACATCAAAAACAAATACCAGGTAGGGAAGTAAAATCTATAAGATTAACCAATTTTTGACTGCCTATAATTATTGCTTTGTTTTTGATGGATTTACTTTAAGACCGTATGACTTACTCCAATCCACAATTAAGTCAAGATCTTTGTTTAATAAGCCTATAGTATTGGGTAAATCCATCAATTTGACATGCACATATACTTTGAGATCATCTGCATACAGGTGGTAGCGAGAAGATAATTGGAGCGTGATCGAACTCATGAAGTTGAAAAGTGGAGAGGACACAAAACGCCACCTTGTGGTACACCGGCATTAATCGTACACCAGTTAGAGAACGAGTCATCTACACGTGTCCGTTGCCGACGAAACAAGTAACTATTAAACCAGTCAATCAATGGCTCGTTTCCAGTAAAAAGTGACTCCGGTTCTCTACACTCACCATACGAAACACAGCAGCTCAATCTATTTCACACTGATGCTATGTGAAAGCCTATTCCATCCCCGGTCGAGCCGACCCATTCATGCTACAACTATACTAATAACACAGCTACAGCCCGGCTCTACCACGTAAAACAATATACAAAATATTTATTTTGTCTAAAGTTATGCTTCTTAAAAGGAGCCATACGTGTAACAATGATGTCAATATATGTAAAATTACTATTTCAAAAACTAACTAAGGCGATATTAAAAGAATTAATTCTGTTCCTTCTGACCAAAACCTCCGTGACACAGACATAGACAGACACCGAAACAATTTTACAATTTTTAGAATTCTGTTTTGCTGAATTAGTTACAGAGCACTATGTACGTAATAGTAATGTCTCACTGTGTAAAGCCAGGCATTAGGCGCATAGGCGGCGAGGGAAGCGACCGCACCGACATAGAGGCAAGTCATCAGCAATGCGCTGGCCAAGGCAATGGCGGCGCCCCCCGACACCAGCCGCGCCACCACACGACCCGCCCCACAGGAACAGCGCCGACGACGCGAACCCCACCATCTGACCATCTCTGCTTCATGTTACACCATCAGAGTGAAGCCATATCTTCCTCCATCCGCCACGGTCATAGCTTTGCTTATAACTTACAAAGACTTCTATGTGTACTACTAGACGGTACTAATACATTCCGCACTAGGTTACGGTTAATTCTTCGTAACTCCTTTAGTCGACTACATGGGCATGCAACTTAGAACATTATTTTACGAACAAAATGATACGTTTTATGTGCTGCCATCTACATTCCGAAGCGCTAGGCTAGACTTATTTAAATCTCACTAGAGGGCACTTATATATTAAGTCTATGCATACGCAATAATCCACGCGCACTACGCAGTTAGTAGCGGTCACTGGATACGCTTAAATTGTTATTAATATTTATTTTTAGAAAATGCAATTTTATCTGTGTTTTCAGACAATGAAAAACTACTAAAATATTATTAGAATACGAAGGTAAATTTCGCCACAACGCAGAAGGTTATAATATAATAGCTCAAGTGGATAATCGGGCGGTTCCGAAATCTAAAGACCCACGGATCGCGTCCAGCAGATGTGTTTATTTTTTCCCTTTTTTTCAAGATCCTTCTTTTGTAAGCGCCGTCTGTTATGCAAAGCACGACACTAAAGAAAATTAAATTTGAATCGCGCATCTATCTCTAGTATATATACAGTAATCTATGGTCGACTGCGAGCGGGCGAGAAGACTAGTACTTTATTTTGTAAATCACGAACGTTGTTTTCGACATACCAATACTGATTTTGTTTAATGTGACTAAGAAAACGCTGTCATTATTTATGTGCGCACCTTGTCAACGTGATTTGAAGTTTATTTCAGACAAGTTTGTAACTTTATTTAGTATTTGCTTAAAAACAGTAACTGTCGCCAATGGAAATACAACTGCGAGGCATGTATATTTACCATCCACAACTGTGAAACAGTTTTTGTTCTGAATTGCCGGTCAGGTAATAAATAGAAATCTTTGGGGGCTTATGGCTTATTCTAATCGCAAATATATTTTTTCAAGAATAAGGATAACAAACGAGCACATCATAGTCCATCTGAAAGTAAGTGGATGCTGTGACCCATAGACATCTACATCTATACTGAACTAACAACCAAAATGTAGATACGTCACACACCTGAAGACTAAGATGAATGCCTCGCTTCCAGTAAAAAGGGTCTCCGGTTCTCTATACTCACCATAGGAAACACAGCAGCACTGAGTTGCTATATTCCGCTAGCATTGTGAGAGTGTGGTCTCCGGTCGAGACAACGTATACTTTCGATATTATTATATTAATTTAACACCAACTTCGCCTAGACAGGATCTATTAATGTGGCGTTATTTAGATTTAAGTAAAAAAAGACATGCGTGAGTGTCGTGGAACACTCAGTTGGAACGAAGTTCCTTTCTTACTATATTATTATTGATAAACGTACTATATTATTGATTAACAAATACAAATAAATGAATTACAAGCGTCTATAAAATGAAGCGTCGTTTAAAATAAAATAAGTACACTATGACACAAGGGGTAGTGACGAAAACATACTTTTTGTCGCCTAGCCCCCATCCCTCAAATTCGTACTGTGCGATAAGGAACTACGTTCCAAAAACTCGTTAAGTATTTCGGATAAAATATCCCTCCTGGCATTGTTCTTTATTTTGTTCGTGAAATTTCGTTACAATCGTTTCAGCTATTTCGAAGACTAGCCAATGACTAGCTAATGACTTTTTTTATAGAATAAGGGTGACAAGTGAACACAATCCACCTGATGTTAAATGGATACTGTAGCCCATAGACATCTAAATCTATCCCGGATTAAGAATCACAATGCAGATGCGTTGCCAACTTCTGTAAGATTGTGGTCCTGCCCCGGTCGAGCCGACCTATTCATGCTACAACAATAATTAAGTTGCAGCGTGGCACTACTACGTAAGACTTGTTATATTTACGGGAATACTGCACAATGTACTCTCGACATTTAGCGTGTTGTGGAACACCTTTGTAGCGGAAGGTCTAGGCTAGGCTGTCTGACGTCCGTCTCATAGTTAACCTAGACTACTGTCAGCTTTTAACTACTAAGCAATTTTGGTTATATTTATACAGAAAGAATTCACTACCTGTCTCTTTCAATTTGCAGTCTTGCTTAGGTTTGAATTGCACATTAAACAAGTTGAATTTTTCAACTGGGCATGGTAAATAAAATATTTTAATAATTTTAAACTTATATACCTACGGATTTGTTCGGAACCCTCTGTGCGCGAGTTCGACTCGCACTTGTCCAGTTTTTTTTTTATTGTAATTTAGTTAAGAGTAAATAACCAAGGCCATATATACGAAACTTTTACAAATCACTTACACCTTAGACTATATCAAAACAAAATAGCATGATAACAAGTGATAAAAGTAAAAAATTTGTACAACCGACATCAATATAACTCAAAAACTCAGACCTTGATCAAATTTATATGGAACCACCTGGGAAGTATACCCTTTGAAACAAAAAAAGAATGGTCCAAGTTGGTTCAGGCGCCTTCGAATAAACGGTGAACATATATAAAAAAAGGATTCGGACAAAATAAAAACCTCTTCCTTTTTGAAGTCGGTTGAAAACTGATTTCGGTTTGTGTCATCTATACATATAAATAAAATTGAAGTGTCTGTCTGAGGTAACTGGCTTCTACTTAGCTCAGAAGATTATTTACAAGCTATGAAGACTTAAATAGCCAGTTTTGTCTGTCTGTCAGAGCTAACCTTCGTCATGTCTGGAACGGTTGTAAAGAAAATTGACGAACAAATAGAACAATAAACAAATAGAATAAATTGAAGTCAATGCCAGGAGTGTTCTAGGCTATATTTTATCCGAAAACCTTTTTTTTTGACAAATCGACATATTTATAACGTAAATGATCATTAACATATAAATAACCCAACCCAGGCGAATCCGGGACGGGCCGCTAGTTTTTAAATAAAGGTTGTATCTACATCATGATAAGTATGTTAGAAAATCTGATACACTATGCCGGTCTCTAAGATGTATTAATTACAAGGCCAACATAAACTCATGCGATAAACAAAATATTTTAAATATTATTAAAAGTTTTTGGAACGAAGTTCCATATCGCACCGTACGAATTTGGCGGGTGGGGGCTAGGCGAAGAAGTGTCAGATTTTTCCGTCCAGGTCGTGATGGAAAATTGGAAAAATCTATCTATAGTGCGAGCGAGATGGAATAATAACCATCTCTCTCACACTTTTCTTATCTTGCCATGAAAGAAATATTATTTTAAATGACGCTTCATTTTAATAAATGCTAGTAATTCATTTATTTGTATTTGCTAATCAATAATATAGTACGTTTATCAATAATAATATACTACGAAAAGAACTTCGTTCCAACCGAGTGTTCCAGGACACTAACGCATGTTTTTTTTTTATATTATTTAAATCTTTGTTATGATCAGTAGCTTTCTGACTATTTTAGCTAGCGGTTCTTAAAAAAAATACTTGTAATGAATTTAACATTACTTATGTTCCCGTTAACTGCTCCAAGCTTAAAAAGGGTTAGGAGTGGTTCTTGACAGTTGTCGAAAGGCGGATCCGAACCCACGACTTTCAGTTTGCAGTCCGCGGTCTTAACCATTAAACTACTGTAATGAAAATGTAAGAATTAACGCTAGAATGTACAACAGAATGTCCTTCTTCTAACTGATAAGTATAAGATGGAAAAACTCCTTCTCTAATTACGAGTACAGGAAAAATAATGCTACGAGTACGTCGGAGTGGCAACGATCACAGAATAAGTAATGCTACGAGTACGTCGGAGTGGGAACGAGCACAGAATAAATAATGCTACGAGTACGTCGGAGAGGGAACGAGCACAGAATAAATAATGCTACGAGTACGTCGGAGTGGGAACGAGCACAGAATAAATAATGCTACGAGTACGTCGGAGAGGGAACGAGCACAGAATAAATAATGCTACGAGTACGTCGGGGAGGGAACGAGCACAGAATAATACTGCTACAAGTCAGTGGCGTAGCTGTGTAATCAAGGACATATATCTTTATATATAAAAATAACGTGTCACGTTGTTTGTCCACGATGGACTCCTAAACTACTGAACTGATTTCAATATATATGTGAGTGAGTTTGTTTGTGAGGCGTTACAGCTTAGTCCCCAGAGGTGACAGACTGTGAGGCGTTACAGCTTAGTCCTCAGAGGTAACAGCCTGTGAGGCGTTACAGCTTAGTCCTCAGAGGTAACAGGCTGTGAAACGTTACAGCTTAGTCCCCAGAGGTGACAGACTGTGAGGCGTTACAGCTTAGTCCTCAGAGGTAACAGCCTGTGAGGCGTTACAGCTTAGTCCTCAGAGGTAACAGGCTGTGAAGCGTTACAGCTTAGTCCTCAGAGGTGACAGGCTGTGAGGCGTTACAGCTTAGTCCTCAGAAGTGACAGGCTGTGAGGCGTTACAACTTAGTCCTCAGCGGTAACAGGCTGTGAAGCGTTACAGCTTAGTCCTCAGAGGTAACAGCCTGTGAGGCGTTACAGCTTAGTCCTCAGAGGTAACAGGCTGTGAAACGTTACAGCTTAGTCCCCAGAGGTGACAGACTGTGAGGCGTTACAGCTTAGTCCTCAGAGGTAACAGCCTGTGAGGCGTTACAGCTTAGTCCTCAGAGGTAACAGGCTGTGAAGCGTTACAGCTTAGTCCTCAGAGGTGACAGGCTGTGAGGCGTTACAGCTTAGTCCTCAGAAGTGACAGGCTGTGAGGCGTTACAACTTAGTCCTCAGCGGTAACAGGCTGTGAAGCGTTACAGCTTAGTCCTCAGAGGTGACAGGCTGTGAGGCGTTACAGCTTAGTCCACAGATGTGACAGGCTGTGAGGTGTTACAGCTTAGTCCTCAGAAGTGACAGGCTGTGAAGCGTTACAGCTTAGTCCTCAGAGGTGACAGGCTGTGCGACGTTACAGCTTAGTCCACAGATGTGACAGGCTGTGAGGTGTTACAGCTTAGTCCTCAGAAGTGACAGGCTGTGAAGCGTTACAGCTTAGTCCTCAGAGGTGACAGGCTGTGCGACGTTACAGCTTAGTCCACAGATGTGACAGGCTGTGAGGTGTTACAGCTTAGTCCTCAGAAGTGACAGGCTGTGCGGCGTTACAGCTTAGTCCTCGGAGTAGTCTCTCTTAGTGACAACGATCTGTAGCCTCCCTTTTGTTTGAAGTTGGTATCAGGTATACATGGGCTGCAGTAGCCACTTACCATCAGGTTCGTTTGCGACTTCAGTTTTATAAAAAACAATAAACTTTTCAAAAGGAAGGTGCTGCTGCCCATCACCCGTTTTACTTTACCTCTGTCGCCTCATACGACACCCACGGGACGATATGGGATAATAGATATTCTTACACCGCTGTTACACGGGCGGTTTGATTTACATAATATATTAAAAAAGGTACTTTGGGGTTATGCTTGCTTGTGCATATACTTGGGTACTATAATCCTGTCCTGCGCAGATGGCTACTCTACGTTGAGACTGACCGCCGTGATCGAAATTCGGTCTGGAAGACGTTATCATCAAAATCGGTCGAGCCATTTTCAAGCTTTTGTGAGACAGCAATTGATTTTTATATATTTACGACTAGCTGTTCCCCACGACTTCGCTCGCGTGTTAGAGTTTTTATTACCGGTTTATCGGTTCAGCCGTTTCGTAGATTAGCCGGAACAGACAGACAGACAAAAGTTTTAAAAATTTTAGTTATAAGTACCGTATTTACTTTCGTATGCATTTAGTAAAAAAATTGTAATTTTGACATTACAAACAGAAACTTCAATTTTATTTATATGTATAGATTGGGCTGGCCCTTGATTGGTGTGATGTTTTATTACACGACCGTTGAGGGGTCGACGGGATAATTCCAAAGTACCTTAAAAAATAGTAAAAATACGTACAAGAGATAACACCTTGAAAATTCTTTCCGGAGATATAAAGAACTCATTCTCTGCGTAGTAGTTACGTAGAATTGCGCTCTGCGTATTTTCAGTCACAGAATTGTTTGACGGACGAGTACGGTTCATTTTATAGAAATAAAAATTAATGGAAATGCCAGGACTTGACCAAGTTTAAGTTAAAAAGAGTTAGTTACATCTTAACTAACAAACTAAATAGTTTGGAGAATAAATAAATAAATAATGTTTAGTTAGAACCGTTAGGTAGTCAATAAAAAACTAAGTATTGTAATCAAAGACTTGATAATCTGAAGTGATTAAGGAAGATTATCTTTTACCATTCGATTAAGTAATTGTTAATAGCTAGATAATAAGCGAGCTGAGATGGTTTGGCCATGTCGAGAGAATGAATGAATGTTGTTTATTCAGTGGGTTTGGGTTCTTTTGTTGACAAATGATGAAGTCCAAAGTTGACAAATGTTCGTTTATTGAACAGAGTTTCAAAAGGTAGGCTTGTCGCTTGCCAGCTTAATTACATAAAATATGAGAATACATTATTGCCAACCTTGACTCTATAAAAAAAAAGAAAAGTAAAGTGTGAAGTAGGATAGGACCAAGGTTGGGTTAGGTCAGGTCAGCTGTCAATTGATCAATTCTCAACACTCCTCCTTGATCAATTTACAGCGGAGCGTCTCAAAGACTCTTCTGTGAGTGGCTTGGTGAGAATGTCTGCAATCTGCTTGCTGCTCTGAACGTGTTGCAGTGTCACAGTGTTGCCGACGTGTTGCTGGATGTGCTTTAGTGGTATCTCAATGTGTTTCTTTCCTATGGTCGTCTTTCCTTCGTGTGCATTCTGTAACATGTGTATGGCTGACATGTTGTGGACCCTTAGGGTGAACAGCTGATCACTTTCCAGGATACCAAGTTCCAGTGCGATTCGTTTGATCCAGCATACATCGTCAATCACTGACCCCGCAGCTCTGTACTCGGCTTCTGCATTTGAAGTCGCTACCAGACGCTGCTTTTGTGAGTACCAGACTACTGGTCCTCCTCTCTTTACTAACACTACACTCGTCGACTGTAACAGAATCTCCTGCAAAGTCTGAATCAGTGTAGGCCACGAGTTCTTTGTCTCCTCCGAAGTGGATTCCTGCTGTCGTTGTCCCTCTCAAGTACTGGAACACACGTTTCACCATCACCTGATGGCTTTTCATGGGCTTGTTGCAGAATCGACTGAGATAGTTCACGGCGAAGCTGATGTCTGGCCGGGTGATTGTAGCTAAGTAGAATAAACTCCCTATCGCCTCGCGATAGTTGAGTTCGCCGGAAGTAGCTCATCGTTCTTGAAGTCTGCCTTCTTGTTGACCATTCCTTGCTCGATGGGTGTGGATACTGGGTTACACTACTCGAGTTTCATCTTTCTCAAGATCTTCTCCGTGTACCGAGGCTGATTCGCGAAGATACCATCCTGGTCGATCTTGATTTCCATGCCCAAATACGTCAGCTTGTCCTGTGCCTTCTTGCTGATTGTGATCTGAAATTCCTTGTTTATCTCGCCCAAGATTCTGTATATTTCATCTTCGTTTTTCCCAGCTATCAATCCATCATCCACAAAGAGCATAATGCTTTTGTCCTTGTTATAGTATATACACGGGTCGTCATCTGTGTTGATGAGGCCTATCTTCTTTTCAAAGTGTGTGGTAACCCTCTCGTTCCACATACTTGGAGCTTGTTTGAGCCCGTAAAGAGTCTTGTCCAACTTGCAAACTTTCCCTGATCCGTCGTCGAATCCTTCAGGTTGCTTCATATAGATGACCTGCTCTAGATTTCTATACAAGAATGCTGTTTTTACATCGAACGATACCAACTTCATTTTCTCTGACGCTGCGTGACTTAAAAGTAGTCGAATCGATGCATGGCGAGCTACTGGGCTAAAGGTTTCGGCGTAGTCCACTCCTCCCTTCTGTTCAAATCCCCTTGCCACGAGTCTGGCCTTGAGTCTGCCGTCTGCCTTTTCTCGAAGTACCCAACGACAAGTGATTGGCTTCACTCCTTCTGGACAGTCCACCAGCGTCCAAGTTTTCATTTCCATTAGCGAGTCGTACTCCTCCTGCATCCTGTAGCATGGTGAATCAATGTCATAGCCAACCAGAATTCCCTTTTCTGATTTGCTATCAATCTTGCCTCTATTCTGTGCATGTGTCAGCACATAACATTCACATCCAAATGGTCGCAGTTTCTCAATCTTCATTTTCCTTCCAAACCACAGCTCTCCCGGACTTTTCCCTGGTACATTGCTGGTTCCTGTATGATTGATCGTGAAGATCGCATGGTTCATTGCTTCTGCCCACAGTCTCTCGTCCAATTCGTCTGCATGTATTGCTGCTCTGGCTGCCTCGATAATCGTTCTCATTTCTCTCTCAATCCTTCCGTTTTGCTCTGGCGTGTGTACATTCATAAATGTGTGCAAAATTCCCAACTTGTCCATCATCTCTTTGGTTTTTGTGTTCTTCAGTTCGGTGCCATTATCAGATCTCAGACTCTTCACTCTTCTCCCTAGTTGATTTTCTACCGGTCTCAGGTAGCTTGCAATCTTCTCAGGGGCCTCACTTTTCGTCTTCATGAAGTAACAGCTTCGGTATTGGGTGAAATCGTCTACTTGGCTCCTCCCATTGATGGGATGTTCATCTCTTCAGTGTCGACATGAACAAGATCTAATGTCTGCCGAGCTGTCTTGGGATTGTTTGGGTGTGAGGATCGATGTTGCTTGCCCTGTGCGCAACCCGTGCACACATAATCATTCCAGTCATCAACATATTTTATTCCTTTTCTTTTCAATATGTCCCTCACATACTTCACATTTTGATGGGCGAGTCGTTCGTGCCAAACTTTGATCGAGAAGAAGAGACATGTTTGATGGTCCAAATATGTCTCTTCTTCTCTCCTGAGCATCATCTTGTAAAGACTTCCTTTGCGCCTTGCAATTGCCACAATTTCCCTTGCCATCTAGACTATAAAATGTCGACTCTTTTCCGTTTGCCTTCTGTTCATGTCCCCTGTCCAACATCTGACTTACTGAGAAAAGATTAAAGTTGAGATTTGGTACGTAAATCACATCCTCAAGTACCACTGGATACCATTTTTCACCATCCAAAGCCTCCATTTCGATGTTCCCGACTGCAACGCCATCTAGCCTGGTTGAGTCTCTAATCACAATTGGAATTGGCTCGTCCAGCTCCTCAAGCTGCACAAACCATTCTCGATGATACGTCATGTGTTGGCTGGCTCCACTGTCTTGATAACATGAGGGTGCCCTATCCTTGGAGATGTCTTTGTCCACTGTCGAGAGTGCCGTGGTCAAAAATGCCACCCTTTTTTGTTTCCCATTTCCTGACTTATTTGCTTCTTCTCGGGATTCACAATCCTTTGCAGTGTCCTTTCTTCTTGCAAATGTTACACGAGTATTTCTTCTTGCAATACTCAATGTATTTCTGACACGGTTTTCCTCTGCACTCCTTGATCACGTGACCTTTCTTCCCACATTTGTAACATGCTAGCGCTGACTTGTCCTGCTTGCTGTTTGACGACTGTCCCTGTTTCTCACGTCTTGCCATGAGAGCATTGTTGGTGCTGCCCTCTGCATTTGTCGTCGTTTCCTTGAGTTCTCGTCCTCAAGTCTCAGACTTTCGATGAGAGTTTCAATGTTCTTTGTTGGTCCGGTCACGTTTTTCCAGGATGTTCTGAAATGCGCCAATTTTGGCGGTAGCACACTCAATATTCTCGTCATGATCCAACTTTCCCTCATTGGATCATTCTCAGTTGACACTTCTTCAGCCGAGTCCAAAATCTCCATACAATTCTCTACTGCTGACTTGTTTTCATAATACTCAAAGGTAAAGAATTTGATTCGGGAAGTTTCTAAAGTTACATCAGTCTTTCTACCATATAAACTAGTTAATTTATCGATCATATCTTGGCAATTCCACTGGTGTTGTTCAGATGAACTGGACGCTCGTTTGACACTCTTCTAGAAAAAAAATAGTAAAAAAATATTCACTCTATTGCCATTACCTAGGGAGAAATTGTAAAAATACGTTTGTATGGACTAAACACCGACGGTACGATCCAGTACGATCATGGGTAGTGATATTCTTACACAACCACTACGCAGTCAATTACGTACGTCTTAATCACACTGAGAAAAAGAAAATAAAATCCCTTCAAACATAAAAAGTAAAGTTACAGCCTATATACGTCTCACTGCTGGGCACAGGCCTCGTCTCACTTCTAAGAGGGTTTTAAGGCAAGGAAATGTCCGTCGCGTTGCCCCAATTGTGTGTTGGTGAACTTCACATGCCTGCGAATTATTAATTTTTCGAATTATTTATCTTATTTCTCAGACATGCAGGTTTCCGATGATCCAGGGGTCGAACCCAGATTGCTCGCGCACGATGAAATTTACGTCGAGCGCCTAGCCCCTGAGCTAGCACGGCTCTTTTTAATTTGAAGTAAAGACTAGAAATGAGTTGGCGGGTGGCTCGAACTTTAGGCCTAGTCAGTTCGAATAGCCTATCATATAGAGGACGTCATGGGGGTCATGGTTGAATAGGGACAAAAAGTTCTCATTACATTCCTAAGGAGTCAAAATGGCCAAAAACCAAAAAGCTTTTAAAAATAAAATATAAAAATTCTTATTTCGGCTATAACTCCACCTCCTTCGGAGGTTCTTACACAGTCTTTACTTCCCGCATCCCACTAGTTAAAACTTATACTTCTATTTTGAAAGGAGAGGTATAAGAAAATGAAAAACAAACATGAATTTGTATAAAAACCATAAATATGTATTATTATTAAAATTTAAAAGTAAAAATGACTCACAATGACAATTTCATTGAGATCTTATGCTATCAATCACCAGATCATGGAATAAATTACGACGTCCTCGTAACACAATATGATACATCTTACGTATAACACACAAAGCAATTTACTCAACACTAAACTCTAGTTACCAATCCCTGACACATAAGTGTTGACGTTGCTTGCTTCTTACTTAATTAAGGATTATAAAATTACAAAATATCAAGTAAACAGTTGCGACGTAGCAGAGCCATGCTGTAGCTATATAATTGTAGCACAAGTGGCTTGGCTCGACTGGAGGCCTACAGTCTCACAGAACACCAGCATGAAATAGCAGCTTAATGTTGCTATTTCGTATGGTGAGTGTACAGAACCAGAACTGTTTACTGGATATGAGGTGTTCCATAGACCTCAGGAATGACAATGCATCTGCATACTTCTTTTTGGTCAATGATGAATGTAGATGTCTATGGGCCACAGCGTCCACTTACCATAAGGTGACTCTGTGCTTGTTTATCACCCTATTCTAATAAAAAAAATTGATGAATTGTTCTAATTTAGTTGTTTTCAATTCAATTTAATTTTATTGGTAATTTTTTCCTTAGATAAGTAAACCACAAAAGGTAATCATAAATACATATCATATGAATAATGGAACATAGGCCTATGTTCAATTTTATTGGTCTTGGGACTGTATTCTTCAAGGCTTTGGTCATCACTGAAAAAATCAGTATTGTGGTTTACAACTGAATGATTTATTACATGTATGCAGTTTTTTTTTTAATATTTTGTATATTGTTATGTTGTGCATGTCAATGGTTTATGCCAAAATAAAGTTCCTATCTTTCTTTCTTTTGTATACTAAGATAGGAAGATGGGTCTTTGTTTTATTAAACATGCCATAAAGATGTGCATAGAAGTAACCCCTCTTTTCTATTCCATTTCTATTATTTTTTAAAAACCCTCATTTAGCTCCAGAACACACCACAAAGTTATCGTATTTCAGATAAGGTAATCTTTCCACTATAGCAAATAATAAAAAGATATACATAAAGTAACCTAAAATTAATTCCCAGCTAATATGGTTAAAAAAAATATGTAACCAGTGTGTCTAACAAGTGACATTTTATCACGCACAACTTTTTCCAACCAGGAAACCCTTAGAAATTAAATAAAAAAGAATTAAGTAAAATAAAATATTTTATATAATAAAAGGGTCTACTATTGTATTTATTCAAACACTATCAAAGTCTCAAATAGGTATTTAAATTAATTTCTAAGCAGCCACTTTAAAATATGCATATTTCCACTTAAAAACTGGTTCTATTATAAACCCTAGACACACTAGTATAAAATTTCTTGAATTCTACTTCTCAGAACTTTTAACTTATGTCTATAATAAATAACAGTGAAGTCTTACGAATATTACAACTTGGTCAAAACGATTAGTCGCATGACAGGAATGCGGTTACAGCACCTGCACCCCGATTCTATTCCCGCGCTTCCCCTACAGACCAATCACCGTTCCATGTTCCCTCCCTAGTTCTAATGACGTCTTAGCTACAATGCGCCTAATTGTTTTGGTCACGTAGTAGTTTAATACATGCTTTTTGTGAATTATAATGGTCAGATTGATTATGATTTAATTTAAATACTATAGCAAATTCCTTACAATTTATATTACAATAAAATGAACACATACACACACAGAAGCAGTTTCTGTTGATGGATATTCTACTTTCGCCACACTTATTTGAAAGGGAAAGGCAACAAAACCACAAGATATTCATTTGGAAGAGAAACTAGCTAAATGTGTTCGATAACAAGTGTGATGTTATACAATATAATTGTCAGTGTTAAAGATCCAGATTCAAGAATACAAGGAATTAGAAACAACTGAATAGATGACGTGTAGTATGGTGATATGTATAAGAGACAGAACTCAAAGAGTAATAAGTGAGGTGAGGTGGATTACATACTTCATTATAGTTTAAACTAAACAACAGTATAAAGGTCCTAAGCTCATGGCGCGAGTACGACAGATTAGACAGTATAAAATTAGGTCCTATAACAAATCTTATTTGGTATATTTTGAAATTTTCTCTTAGATCTACTTAAATATGTTTGATAAATAACTATATCACGCAAATAATTTAATCAAAAGCAACACAAATATGATATACATAATACTATTGCTACTTTCCCCAAGTTCATCCATCTATTCAGTAAGATAGATACAATAAATACTGGCCTATACATAATAATTACCCTTTGCATACACTTGTGTACATTTAATATATATAAGGCTATGCTCTCATTAAGTATGATCTGTACAAATAAATTATGATAAGTCATGGCAATTACAACACACTTGGAGCAATACATACTAATAAATAACGCTTAAATTATGAGATCAAATATGAACTTAATATTTGTGCAAAACTACCAGAGGAATTGCTGTTTGTTAAAGTACCAAACAAGCACTAACATATTACTAAATCAAATGGGTTATTATAAACTTGTCTAGGTGTCAACTGTATGAGTACCGAAAAGTGTATAACAGCATGGAGAAATTCAGTATATACCTAATTTTTTTAACCCATTATAACCTAGTGACGCTGTTTGGCATCCAATACTAGCCCTTCATAATTTCGCACCATACGCGCGCCTTAAACAGTGAAACCAGGTGATGCGCTGTCGATGCGATGCTAGAGTAAGATAGCTAACAGTTTTGATACTTTATTTCAACTGATGCACTTGTTGAGACCAGCACAACCGTCAAAAAAATCAATGTTGTGAAATTATTGGCAAAAATGGATTTACCTTTGGAGTATGTTATAATTTATTTATATTGTGTAATATATAATTGAAATGCATTTTCTTTTATTCATATATATTTGTTTGACTAGAGTGTAATGTAACTTTATTCAGTTTTGTTTGTATATTACGTTTATCATCATTAGAAGTCATGGGTGCCTTCTAATGAAGTGTGCAAAAACGACCGAAGCGGAAACTGCAAACGGTTAACATAGTAAATTTGTTCGCTTTCTGATAATGGAAGAACCAAGGTTTGTATGAGACTACATCTTTAATCTGAGCATAATGTTTACATTTTATGTTTTTGGTTCGAACTCCGATACCTTGCCTTGGCATTTTGATGCCATAATGGAAGCAAGTCTTGGGGAAAAATTAGGTATCGAGAACCAGTTTGGTTCATTTACTCAGCAGTTTACATTTGAGAGATTCATTTTGATCATGGCCACATCTTATTGCAAACCACTTGTTTCTTATCACACAAGTTTGCAACTTTTCATTAGGTCACCCTTAACATACTCCTTAATGACCGCATTTCTACAGCATTAATTTCACTGTCTTACTTCTTCTGCTACACCTCTACCATACATTAAGGTAGCAACTAATGCAGCATTGCGTATCGCCTGGAGGCATGTATGTCTCTGTTGACATGTGCTGATCTCACAATAGAGAAAAGATTCACTTATTGCCCTGCATTTACTCATTGTAATATCCTTGCCACTCACCCTGTGTGATTTTGAAGGTCAGGAAAATTGATATTTACACCCATTGTATTTAAGAATTATGATGATAAAATTGACTTATATGTAATTATGATATGATATGAGTGTAAAGACTTGGCAGACCACACAATATAATGACAACATGAAAGTGGTTCAAATTATACACATAATTTTTTTTTTTATTAATATTGCTTGTGATTAATTAGTTACATTAAAATTCTATGGTACCACAATAAAAGTTACTTCTGGAAAAAGAAAATCTTTTTCTTTCTTTGCCTCAGAAAATACCTCAGTTACATTCTTTCAAGGTGACATCTTTTAGACAACCAACACCTTTCTTAGTTAAAAAAGTTCTTGTAGTTGGCATTAGTTTCTTATATGAAAAACTTGTTATACAATAATTCAGACAACTATATCGTTACTTTTCATTACCTAATATTGAAGAAAATCATACAAATAAATGGAAGATTAATAATTATGTTTTCGGTACTCGTACACCGATTTCTAATAGACTGATTAGACTTATATAAGTGAACATAAACATAAATTATATAAAAAAAAAAACAAATGCAACTGACAGTTTGGCAAGAATTTGTAAAGAATTACACAAGGGATCAGTGAAGGGTTACTATATGAACACAATTTTCTGTTATATCTACAATCTACAGGGTAACAGTTACTTTATAGTGAGTAATAAAAAATATTGGTCATTTCAATAATGACAAACTCTGCTCCTGTATCTCAATTCTATTTTGCCATACTGTTAACCTAGAAATCATCTGACTAGATATATAAGTGGACGTGAATAATTCACAGGCAAAAATCATATGGCAGTTTGATTACATATTGCAATAATTTCATCCACACTTTTCAATAAAACCAATTCATATCCAACAGGTTTTACAATTATTACCATGCAATCGACATCACAAGGCTAAATTCACTCAACAATGCCAGAAATCGAGACAATACATTACGATCCAATGTCAAATTGTAATAAGATATTCATTAAGTCTGCTTGTGGTCCTGTGGCTTTAAAAAGTCATCCAGAAAGACCTTTATATTTAGGACTATTCCACCACAATTAAGTAAGAGCCTTTTGTATATGTTTATAAACATACTAGAAGAGAATTGTGTACAAACTAAACAAATAATTTTAAATTGTGCGTTGAGTAGCTACCAAATGGCTCTTTTTTAATTGTGGATAAATTCAGCCTTGTATGATTAATGTTGTGGCAGTGAACAGACTTAGTCAGTAAATATACTAACTTTGTGTTTTGTAAAATATGGTTTTTTAGAGGGTTGTCCGATTTTTCAAGTTATTTAAGAACTATTTTTAAATTCAATTCAAACTATTTTACAATTATGAAACATTCTAACAAACAATTTATGAGTACGATAAAAGATTTTTTTATAAATTGTAAGTTTAAATAAACCAATAAAGCAATGTAATTTTATTGACAAAATTTTATATAAAATTTTTGTGAGATCACCAAGTGATCTATTGTGCATTAAAATACAGTATTTATGTTTATATAATGTAGGGTATGTGTAACTTCATTTGTTCAACATGTGCACAAAAGGGATTTACATAGATTATCTCAAGTCTCTCAAGAATAGAATGTGGGAAATGGGCAGAATGATATATGTGATATGCCAATACTAACCCGTAACAAGAACTGGAATAGTCAAATTCAAGTCATTCTTGCAACTTCATACTTCTTCACCGTTGAAAAACAGAGCATACAAACACAAAACAGGATGCATCACTTTTACTTGGAATATATAGCACTTGAACGCGGTCGCAGGCACAAATGTTATTGCCGGTTTAGAAGTTTATAAGGGGGTGATCGCGCGAGGTGGAGGATTGCGGACGGGCCACACTTGTTCACCGTTAGGCACAGAGCACACAAACACAAAACGGAATGTAGCACTTTTGCTGGAACACATAGCACCGGAACACGGTCGCAGACGCAATCGGTTACGGGGGGCGGTGAGTTAGAAGTCCGTTGGCTATAAGGGATGGTCGTGCTCGGCGGGCGGCTGCGGCACAGCGCGGTAGGCGGCGCTGGAGCGGCGCGACGAGCGCGCGGAGCCGGCGCCCCCCGCGCTCCCCGCCCCCGCCGCCGTGCAGAGCGCGCGCGCCGCCCGCACCGCGCGCACCGCCAGCCACGCGCCCGCGCACGCGCCGCCCACGCCCACGCCCTGCAATCGCAATACCCTCCCCTTCCTTACTATTCTTTATTTTCTTTTTTTTCAATTACATAAAACATACAAACATGCCTGTCACCCAAGGTAGACGGAGACTACAGACTTCCATTTGCTACGATCCTGTCACCTCTCTCGCCTCCTTTACATCTATATAACTACGCATACATGCTCGTCGGTTAAGGCTACTCCTAATATGGTCAATTTGGTCGATAAACTTTCACCTAAGACATGCTCTCTTTTTTGGCTTTGGGGAATGAGTCACTCGCGTCCGTAAGCTTCTACCACTTAAACCTACGCCCACCATGCCCGCTAAACGAGCGAAAAAGCCGAAAGAAGACAATCGGCTCCTCGCCGTGTGATAGCGCCGTAAAATTTTCGACACCCTATTTCACACCATAAGACAGAAAAAAAAACGAAATAGCCCCAAATTTATAATTATTTCTACTATTCTAATAGAATATAACAAAATAGCATAGAATAATTTTTATACAATATCAAATACAAGTAATTCATAATAATATTTTTAAAATAACAAATAACAAATTCATTCAGAAAAAAACCAGTTCTAGAAAGAACCAGCTAGAAACCCAGAAAGACATTTTTTCAAAGTAAAACTTAAATAAAAACAATACAAATTACTTACAAATCTTGTTTAAGAAACAGCTTGGAAACAACCACCTCATTCCCAAGATTTATTATCAACCAATTATTAATTTATATTATAATAATCCTTTTTACACAATATTACATTTGTTAAAATTTTAAACTTCATAATACAGAAACCTTATATATTTTCCGAGACTTTACTGTAATAGAATGAATTACTGATTCTGTAGAATTGAGACACTATCATTAACTTGTATTTGTTCCTGGAGTTTACAGAATGTATAATTACTATTTTTATTAAAACTAATTTTATATTTGTAAACATCTGTCTTCATACACCTTACTAGTTACTTAACATTAATGACATACTTATCAGACAGGTTACACAACCGCAGTTGTAATTGTAGTACCCTATATATGGAATTCCAAAAAGCAGACTCCATAAGTCATAGTTACTAAAATTTATTTAACTTTAAAATACCCAAAATCCCAATAGAATGTTTGTTGCTTCTGTTCTATTGTTTGTATTTTGTACACGTGTAATGAATGAATACAATTATTAAACTTTTTAAGCAACACTACTGTATACCTTATGTTTGTTTGTTTGGAAAAAAAATCTCGAAATTCTTGTTAGGTCAAAAGACGTGGTAGAGCCATGCTGCATCTATATTATGGTTGTAGCACGAATGGGTCGGCTCGACCGGGGAAGGACCACGCTCTCACAGAATACCAGCGTAAAATAGCAGCTTAACGCTGCTGTGTTTCGTATGGTGAGTGTAGAGAACCGGAGACCCTTTTTACTGGAAACGAGGCATTCCATCTTAGTCCTCACGGGTGACAACGCATCTGCATTTTGACTCTTAATCGAAGATAGATGTAGATGTCTATGGGCCACAGCGACCACTTACCATCAGGTGGACTGTGTGCTCGTTTGTCACCCTAATCCTATAAAAAAAAAAAAAAAAAAAAAAAAGACCGTTAGTTACATATTTATATCTGTTGCAAGCTACAATGATAAGATTAACTCATAAATAATGTGATTATTAGCATTTACATTTTATACTTTAAAGACATATTGTATTACTTATGTTAAAGCTTAGTGTGCAATGTATTAAGTCCGCAATGCCTATATATCAATATACATAAATTTTTTGAGTAGCAGAGTGCAGGGGGCAAGTACTCACCGCAGCAGCGAGTAAAAGCTGCGTGAGCTGGTGCGGAGCTAGCCTGTAACCGGGCGTGAACAGCACGGCGTGCAGCGTGAGCAGCCCGCCGCTCGCCAGCGTCAGCGCACTCCAAGCCCCAGCACACCCACCCTGGAATCGAGTGCAACACTTATTTGATTAACACAATCATACTATCCATACCATCTAGATAATCGGCGGTCTACCACTGAGCGATTTACAAGAAGCTTACTCCCTTGCACAACTTCCTTGTGGAATCGACTACCACCAGCAATTTTTCCGAACAGATACTATTTAAGGACCAAGAAAAAGAGCCTACTCTTTTTAAAAGGCCGGCAACGCATCTGCAATTCTCCTGGTGTTGCAGTTGTTTGTTGGCAGCGATAGTAATTATTAGGTGAGCTGCATGCTCATTTGCCCCCTCTTACATAAAAAACCTCTCTAAACTCGTCAAAAGAGATTTGGAAAACCAGAAACTTGCGGAAATAGAAAAAGCTTTGGCAGAAAACTGTGTGATAAAACGAACTGAGAAAATTATGTCTATCGGCAAAGAACTAACACCAAACTTAAAACATGAGGGGAAGAAAGTTGAGATGAGAAAGGAAATTGTAAACACAGCAACAAAGTATTTCAAAACACTATATACCAATGTCAACTATGATCCGAGTACTTACGAGAAAAAACAGTGTAAAGATGTTGAACCATTCCTGGTTGACGAGATAACTTCAGTGATATCAAAACTCAAAAATGAAAAAGCTTCGGGCCCAGATGATATCTGTAACGAAATTATAAAATACTCCAGCTATGAGTTACATAAAGTCATCACACATTTATTCAACAATATTTTGAAAGAAGAAGTCGTACCAAAACAGTGGCATATATCAAACATAACAATATTACACAAAAAAGGCAGCAAGGATAACCTTGATAATTATAGACCCATAAACCTCTCCTCGTGCTTGTATAACTATTTATGATCGTCTTGCGAAGAAGAATAGAGAAAACTTTAGACAAACAGCAATCTGTAAAACAAGCAGGATTTAGACCAACATTAAGCACAATTGATCACATACACCCAAATTATAGAGAAATGTATGGAATATGGCTACACAGTATATCTGACTTTCATTGACTTTACCAAAGCCTTTGACTCAATTTACCATGATTTTTTATTCGAAACTCTTGAAGAAGGTGTTGACCAAATATATATATATATATATATATATATATATATCCTAAAATATATTTATAGAAACAGCAAGGCAAGAATAAAAACAGACATAATGGTTGTCAAACAGGGTGACCTGATTTCACCAATTCTCAGTGGAGAAAATTTTCAGAAATATGTCTTGGTCAAATAAAGGATTAAGAATAAATGGAAGATACCTAAACAATCTCGAGGTTTGCAGATATGTCATTATCTTTGATGAGACCACGGAGGTCTTACAAGATATGCTCAGGAAATTTGAAAGTAAAGTGTAGAGAAACAGGCTTGGAAATGAATAGGCAAAAATGCAAGATCATGACTAATGGGGAGCACAAACCTGTTAGACTTGGAGGAACCCTACTGGATTATGTAGAAGACTACATATCTCAGACAAGTTATGTCATTTAAAAACAACCAAGATTAACAAATTCTATATAATTCTATAATAGACTTGTTTATTCTTTGTTCTATCACCAGATAGAACAAAGAATAAACAAGTCATGGAAAAAATTTTGGAGCCTAAAATTTATTATGAAAAGTGACCTATGCATAAAACTTAAAAGTAAGACATTTAACACTGCCATCCTACCTACCTTAACCTATGGATCACAAACATGGAGTCTTACTAAAGCTCAATTCTCTTTCTTTGTTCTCCTTTGTTTTTTTTTTTAGTTTAAAAACTTTTTAGTCTAAAAATTAAATAAACTAAAAGTAACTCAAAGAGCAATGGAAAGATCAATGCTTCAGATTTCCAAAAACGACAGAATCAGGATTACAGAGATCCGGGACAGGACGAGGATGGAAGATGTTATAACGAAGATTAAAAAAAGCAAATGGGCATGGGCTGGACATCTCTGCAGACTACCAAATGACAGATGGACTAAAACATTTACAGAGTGGATCCCGAAGGACAAAAGAAGGAAAAAAGGGAGACCAAAAAGGAGATGTCGGGATGAACTTCTACTTCAGTTAATGTTTGAAATTAACAGTTCAACATTAACTGAAGTAGAAGAAATAAGAGACTTAGGTGTAACAGTGGACAAGCACCTTAAATTCACTTCACATATTAATAATATTGTAAACAAATCCTCGAAAATGCTAGGTTTTCTTAGGCGAAGTACTGCTGGTTTCCGTTTAAATTGCACCCATAAAATATTATACAATGCTTTGGTCCGAAGTAGCTTAGAGTATGCTATCGTGGCATGGAACCCTGTATATGCTGTTCACTCTCAACGCTTGGAGGGTATTCAGCGTGCGTTCACTAGGCATCTGGCATTTATTTCGCAGGGCATGTCACACCGGTCACCACATGAGCATCGTCTTGCCTTTTTTAAAATGAACTCGTTGCGTAGCTGTCGAAGAGACCATGATTTGGTGTTTTTGGACGGGCTTGTAAACGGTAAAATAAAATGTAGTAAACTCCTGGAACATGTTAAATTGACAGTGCCAGTTCGTATACCCCGACATCCTATCAAAAAATCTTTTGCCTTCTGTAAGGACTAACCTTGGACGCCATTCTCCTCTTGCCAGATGTTGCGCACAGTACAACGAGATGAATATAGAAACATTAAACATTTTCCACGACTTGTTGTTTAAATTTAAACGAAAACTGGCCGGCCTTTTGTGAACAAGCATTTGTTCTCAGTTAAGTTTTTAGTTTTGCTTTGGTGAATTTTATTATTTTATTGTTTTAAAATTTTTACATTAATATTGTGTTGTTATTTAATATCTCCTGTCAATGTTGTGTACGCCTATAATAGGTATATGTATAAAAATGTAACTTTTATAATATGTATACATGTACTGTTGGTGTACCTTTTTAAATAAAATAAAACTCTCCAATTTTGAAAAAGAATTGGAGAAAGAAAGAAAGAAAGAACAACCTAGAGTAGAAAATATTGGGATAAGTTGGAGAGGCATTTCGCACTAATAGCGACGTATAAATAATAAAAATATAATGAAACAAATTAAAAATTTAAAGTAAAAATTTATTTATGTGTAAAATAAAGGCTTCTAATACTAATACTAATAATGTAAAAAAAAACCACAAAATGGGAGTTATAGTTATAGGTTCCATGGAACATGTATTCGTATGCCCTACAAATAATTGTTCCTGGTTTGGATGTTTGTACTTGTGAAATTTATGTATTTTATGTAAAAAATCTGTGGGAATAACATTTTGAAATAGAAAAAGAAAAGTTAAGAGACATGCACTGAATGGTTGTGGTGGGCGGGTAGGGGAGGTGGGGGGTGCGTACCATCTTGTTCCAGTCGACGGGCAGCAGGTCGGCGAGGCGGGTGACGTGCACGGCCAGCAGCAGCGCGTGCAGCATGAGCGAGGTGAGCGCGGCCAGGTGCAGCAGGCGCACGCGCGCCGCCAGCGGCAGCAGCGCCGCGCGCAGCCCCACGCCCGCCCACAGGCAGCCGCACGCGCCCGCGCTGCACAGCTGCGCACCACACACCCCTCATATCACACTACTTTACAATTATTTACACGGCACAGCCACGCTGCAGCTATGTTATGGCTGTAGCACAAGTGGCTCGGCTCCACCGGGGCCGTACAAGGCTCTCACAGAATACCAGCATCAAATGCAGCTTAATGTAGTTGTTTCATATGGTGAATGTAAAGAACTGGAGACCATTTTTACTGGTAACTAGGCAATCTATCTTACTCAATGCATCTATCTACATTTTGATGCTTAATCGAAGATATATGTAGATGTCTACTTAACATTAGGTTGACTGGATGCTCATTTATCACATTTTTTCTATAAAAATATAATGTCTAAAAATAGTATACACGCCCACACGCTAATATTCTGCAGGCTTCTTGGCCGAATAGCCAAATATTAGGTAAAAGGATTTGACAGGGAATAAAATAGTGGGTATTGAAAGCGTCTTTTCTATGAAGTTGGGATTGTCTATGAGAAGAAAAGGAGTAAACTACTGCCTAAAAATAGAAAAAAAAACTTGTCTTTACTTTATACCATAACTGAAGTGCATAGACATTTATTTAATACTTTATTGTTAATTTTTATAATATGTAAGTTGATTGACCTACTACTGTAATGATTACAAGAAATATACATTATAAAACCAATCAATGTGTTCATTTTACCAATTATCTGACTACAACAAAACATATTACTTAAGTATTTGATATTTGGCCAAATAATACATAGATATTCAGTATTCAACTAAAATAGGATAAAAGTATCTGAATAGGCCGAATACTAAACAAAAGCCGAATATTCGTTAAAAGTCTAAAATAAAGTAAAAAGTATTTTATTTGCCACAAAATAAATAAATTGTTAAAGTTTAAATAAACAGCTTAATAATTAGTTGTAACAAAACAGTCTGAGACTCAGTTGTAACAGGAAACCCATTACTCCTGCTATTCTGCCACAGCCCATGCACATTAACCATCCATACAAGGTCTTAGATGTGTTGTAACACATGTATTTTAAAATAAAACTAACAATATATAAATAAAAACAAAAACAATAAAATAATCAATAATTTGTGGGGGTATCAGAGTCAGGGACTGTTGTTGAATCAGCCACATGTGGCCTCTTTGCTGGAATGTAAATGTAGGTAAGGTAGGCCGCACTGGTGGTGGCAAAACTTAAATTATTAAAAAAAATTAAAGTGTATAGCTTATACTTGCAATTGTTGTCGCTTGGTGGAACTTCTGCTTAATTTTTACAATTGAGACACATTTAAACACTTGTACTAGTTTTACAATATTTCAATGCTTGAATTGCTCATGGAGCCTCATGATGAGGCGAGGCAAAACCAGTCGGTATTAATAATTAGTATAACAATAATTAAAAATATATTTTGTGAAACTAGTACAAATGTATATCCATGTATATTTTTTACGTGGTAGTCATGCTGCAGCTATATTGGACTGGACTGGGGAAGGATCACGGTCTCACAGAATACCAGTGTAAAATAGCAGCATAAAGCTACTGTGTTTCGTATGGTGAGTGTAGAGAACCGGAGACTCTTTCTTACTAGAAATTAGGCATTCCATCTTAGTCCTCACGGGTGACAACGCATCTGCACTTTGATTCGTAATCGAGGATAGATGTAGATGTCTATGGGTCACAGCAACCACTTACCATCAGGTGGACTGTGTGCTCGTTTGTCACCCTTATTCTATAAAAAAAATCCAAATCACAAAAATTTAAATTGAAGTGTCTGTCTGTAACATCGAAACAACTGTGGGGTCATGACGTAAATAATCTTTATTGAAATGTTTGTATGTCTGTCTGTCCGGCCAAATCTTCAGAATTGTTAAACCAATTGCAATAAAACTTCATGAACATATAGAGCGTTGCCAGGAGTGATCTAGGCTATATTTTATTTGTAAAAATTTAATTTTTTTTTTTAATGGCTATTGATAATCCTTAATCTAAATAACACCAGAATTAGGCTGCATTTCCACCAGAGATGTGTGAGGAAGGGCAACGAGGCATGCGTTTGTTAAGAACCAATAAAATCATTTCATTATCCTAGCCTTGCTCAGCTCAGCTCTAGTGGAAACGGCTCAGTGGAGCTAGGTTATTGTACATTCAAAACAAGGGAAGGATGTGTGCGGGAGATGTGTTGCGAGAGATGTGCACGAGGGATATGTTGCGAGGAATGTGTGCTAGGGATGGACGCAAGCAAATCAATTTGAAAATGATTTTAAAACATTCCTATTTATAATAATATCTCTTTGTAAAATTGAACTTTTTACTTTTTTTCAACAACAGCCATAGATATAATTATATTTTTAGCCCACTATACATCTTCACACCACTCATCTGCACACTGTTTCACAGAGTTGCTACACATCCTCACACCACTCAGCGGGTTAACACATTTCTGGTGGAAATGCTCACACTGTACCACAGCCTCGCTACCCATCCTCGCATCGCCTAGCTACTTTGCACATCTCTGGTGGAAACACAGGCTAATAGATCCTACCCAGGCGAAGCAAGGATAGGTTGCTAATAATAATTAAAGTTAAAGGAATCCCAACAAGATTTAGAAAATGCTTTATGACGTTCAAAACAGTCACATCCACTGAAATGATGATTCCACAACATATGTATACAATTTGAAAAGGGTAACCTTTTTTTAATGTATTATGTAGATAAGTCTACATAATCTATATGATAAAATCAAGACAATCTTAAGAAAATTTTGACATGACATTCAGGAACAATCTAAACCAATATAAAAAATATGAAGAACTACATTCAGGTAAGATTTGGTTTTTAGATAAAAATACTAATAAATTAAAACTACACAAAATTATGACATTCCTTTTAAAACAATATCAGAATGCTTGATTCCCTAACAAGATGTAACTTTTTGAAATTTATATTATTATCTTTTATAAAATATATCATCCCATCATTCCAGCATCTTCCCAATCATCATCATCATCATTACAGCCCTTCACAAGTCCACTGCTGAACATAGGCCTCCCCCAAGGAATGCCACAAAGCACGGTCCTGAGCCACCTGCATCCATCGACTTCCTGCATATCTTACCAGGTCGTCACTCCATCTAGTGGGGGGACGCCCTACACTTCGCCTGCCGGTACGAGGCTGCCACTCGAGAACCTTTCTTCCCCATCGGTTGTCGGTTCTTCGAGCTATATGGCCGGCCCATTGCCACTTCAGCTTACTAATCCGTTGGGCTATGTCGGTCACTCTGGTTCTACTGCGGATATCCTCATTTCTGAGTTTATCACGCAGAGAAACTCCGAGCATAGCCCTCTCCATAGCTCGCTGAGCGACCTTGAGCTTCCTCAACCGGCCAGTAGTGAAGGACCACGTCTCAGTTCCGTATGTCATCACTGGCAACACGCACTGGGTATACAGTCTATTGTCATTGCTCATGGGGGGTATATTGCCATAGTTGCCACGCTTGGCGAGCGGGTTGGCAACCGCAGTTTTTTTATTGTTATTTTGGCTATTATCAGGAAGATGCTGCTGCCCATCTCCTGCCTGTTTCCCTTTGTCGCCTTTTACGACAGCCACGGGAAGATATGGGGTAGTGGATATTCTTAACCGCCACTACACGGGGTCTTCCCAATAACAACTCAAAATATTAAAAAAGTTGTATGTCAATTTACACCCAGCAGAATTTATGATATAGAAATATGGGAGTAAAATAATGAGTTTAAAATGTATATACATCCTGAGTAAAAAATTTAAAGGACTTTAGAAAAGAAAATTGTTATTTAATGTACAAACATTATATTGCTAGAATATTGGACCTAAATAGGTATATGACTATATGTATCAGATACTATGAGAGTAGGTTAAGTGGTGAGACTTGATCTAGTCAAATTGACAACGCACAGGCCAATTTTAAAATTAAATAAAGAAAATTGCTTCTCTAATAATATTTAAACAATTGTTTAGCTCTTTCTTATTTCAAACATATATTTCCACATCTAACAGCACACATCTTTTTTGCATATTCTTAAAACCTTTACAATGATACCAGAAATGGCCATAATTTTCTGTTCGCATAATTCTTCATATCACAGAGAAACTATTAATAATCTAATCTAATTATAATAATGTAATATGATATCAAGTAGTAGTGATAGTTTACGAAAAGAAGTCTTGCATCATATTTGCTACCTCCTTATCAAAAATGATTCTGCAAAACATTTGTCTCCACTGCTGCACATGCTATGAGCATCTAGTACTTTGACAGATAAGTTTGTTTTTGGTGCGCTATAAGAGAGGCGGGCTCACCACAACGAGCAGCGTGATGGCGCCCTCGGGCGAGCGCAGGTGGCGCAGGCGGCAGTAGACGGGCGCGAGCGGGCGCGGGCGCGGCGGCGGCAGGCGCGAGTAGTGCGCGTGCGAGTCCCACGAGCGCTCCGTGAGCTCGGTGCCGGCCGGCGAGCGCCCGCCGGCGCCCGCGCCCGCGCACCCGCTGCCCGCGATCTCGAAGTCCTGCACCTCCTCGCCGCGGCAGCTCGTCGGCTCCAGCTCGCGGATCTCCTCCAGCAGCAGCTCCACTTCGTCGGCCGAGTACAGCTCGCTCGACGACACGTAGCGCGCCGGCGCCGCTTGCATGTCACCCGCGGCGAGCTCTACCGCCGAGCGCCGCCGCCCCGGCCCATCCTAAGACGGCGTCACGCGTCAACCACTCGCCCCGTTGCCCCCGTTGCAGCGCCGCTCCGACTGCTTTATCTCTCCCGGCTGTTGACATTGAGGCTTCGTTCCTCTGTAGATGATCGCATAATCCGGAAAAGCGGGTATCCTTTGGTGATACGCCGACTTGTAAACAGATCTATTTCTACGACGCTTTATTAGCACGCCATGTTTGTTATCATTTTTTTTTCAAACAAAATTGATTCTATACTTTTTGATCATAGACAATTTCGTTCGGATACATATAACGCATTGTACAAACAAAGTTTTATTTTGTTTTTCGGTCTTTGTTGTTATTTTTCCAATAGCTAAGAATAAAATTAAAATGACGTGGAGTATAATTAACAGCGAAACCGGTAAAGAGAAACCTCGTAATTCAAACTATCAATTAAAAATTAATAATGAATTGACTATGTAAATCAAATCAAGAAGTTGCAGCGGTGTTTGAGAAATATTTCACTGATGTTCCTATCTTGACAACAGAGTCATTGAATGCTTCTCCAACTGTCGCCGAATCATTACTTAAACAGAATGTTAATACCTGTTTAAAAGAATTTAGATTTGAAAAAGTATTACCGCATAATATTGTAAAATACTTCAAAACCATTGATGTAAAGAAAACCGCAGATTTGTGGGGGATTTCCGTTACAGTGATTGCGTCCATAATAGATTTAATTGCACCTCATCTTGCTATTATTTTTAGTACTTGTATCGATTCTGGTGTGTTTCCTGATTTAATGAAGTATAGTAAAGTAATACCTTTATTTAAATCTGGTAGTACTTTGGACCCCGCTAATTATAGACCTATTTCTGTACTACCAACTCTCAGTAAAATTATTGAAAAAATAATTTTGGATCAATTGTTAATTTTTTTTAATACAAATAAATTACTTCATAAAAATCAATTTGGTTTTACAAGGGGTCGCTCGACGTCTGACGCCGGTGTTGAGCTTATGAAATATATTTTTAATGCCTGGGAGAATTCACAAGATGCCTTAGGTATTTTCTGTGACCTTTCCAAGGCTTTCGATTGTGTTCATCATGATACATTAATCAGGAAACTACAACATTACGGTGTAAAAAATTTGGCGCTTAAACTTATTACTTCATATTTAAGTAACAGAACTCAAAATGTCGTCATTAATGGTAAATGTTCCTCCGGATCAGTAGTATCAATGGGCGTTCCTCAGGGCTCGATTCTTGGCCCATTCCTGTTCTTAATCTATATTAATGACTTACCTTATCTTGTAGGGGACAATCACGATATAGTATTATTTGCTGACGATACCTCTTTAATTTTCAAACTGAAACGGCAGTCAATTAAATATGACGATGTAAATAATGCTCTATCGAAACTAGTACATTGGTTTAACGCCAACGATTTGCTCTTAAACGGCAATAAGACAAAATGTATTAAATTTACAATACCTAATGTAAAACATTCGAAAACCAATGTGCTCTTAAATGGGGAGGAGTTGAGTCTTGTGGATACCACTGTTTTTCTCGGTATTACTATTGACGCGAAACTTCAATGGGGCCCCCATATATCTAAATTAGCAAGCAGACTTAGTTCTGCAGCATATGCTGTAAGAAAGATTAGAAGTCTCACAGATGTTGAGACAGCTAGGTTAGTGTATTTTAGTTACTTTCATAGCGTAATGTCTTATGGAATTTTGCTATGGGGTAATGCGACTGATATTGAAGCTATATTTGTTTTGCAAAAGAGAGCCGTACGGGCGATTTATAATCTAAATTGTAAAGAGTCCCTTAGAGAAAAATTTAAAGAAATAAACATATTAACTTTGGCATCGCAATATATTTATGAAAATGTAATGTATGTACATAAAAACATAAATAGCTTTAATAAGAATAAGGATGTTCATACCTTATACACTAGGAACAAACATAAGCTTGTAATGCCACTTACAAGACTCCACCGAATTAGTAATTCATTTATGGGGCAATGTATACGCTTTTACAACAGAATCCCAGAACATGTTCAAAGTTTGTCAATAAACAAGTTTAAAAGTTTTATTAAAGAAAAACTGTACAAAAAGGGTTATTATAATATCAAGGAATACATGAATGAAAATAACCCCTGGGAATAAGGTGATCGCCACCATGCTGGTTCTATGAAAATTCATTTAAAATTGTATAAACAAAATTATTGTTAAGTGAAATTATGTTTAAAAAAAAAGTCCCGCTGGGTTTCTTGCTGGTTCTTCCCAGGACAGAGGTATTTTCCGAACCAGTGGTAAATAAAATAATGACTTTCAATAAGTATTATGTAATAATCCATATTGAATAAAAATCATTCTATTCTATTCTATTCTATTCTAATAGTCAAAATTCAGGTCAGCTAAAGCGAAAAACGAACTCAATAGTTTTGTTATTTATATTACACAGTACCAAATATTTCGCACCTTTAACCTTTATCACTATATCCATTTGCCGGACCGGCTTAAAGTCTGTTCGCTTAGATACGGTCGTGTTTGTGTCACGCCGCCTCTACACGTGCCGCATCTTGTCAAAGACGCCACTACGAAATCGAAAGTCAAAGACATTTTAAAACGAAACACCGTAGTGGTAGGTTGTTTTAGTTGACTCTCCTACGTATACTCGTACAAAAAAAAATTTTTCGTCCTTGTGTGGACAGTAAAGTGCCTTAAAGTGAATCAATAACAAAAATTCTATTGTAATATGGATTCAGAACTTTTTGAATGCCTTATAATAATACAGGTGGCAATGACTTCGACACTTCGAGTAATGAAGAATAGCGTGAATTTTAGTTTCGTTTATGTTTACCTATCTACTCATATTTTTCATTTAAATTCTCTTTGCTACCTAATTTGTTGTTTAGGCCAAATAATTAATATTGTAAAAACTTGGATTCAAGACGCGTGTCGCGGCGTTTTCGCACACTACTTACATACACCTGACTGGTACCCTGTGGTCAACCCTACCTCCGGAACTCAGTAAGTTTTTGTTTACTTAGCAGCCGTTAATAATAATCCATAGGCCGTTGGGCCCGAACCCTCGGCTGCTCGTCGAGGAGGCTACTATGGGCCCTAGCCCAGTCAACTTTTGCCGGGGCAGCTGAGGGCCATAACATTTGTGTTTATTATTTATATTCGTATTTTATTTAAATTACCATAAGAATAAAATGGCATAAAATTTTAGCCTTAAAATAGAAAAAAACATTTATTTAACAAACTCAGTATAAAATAATGAAATAAAAGCAGATAGTATAAAATAATGAAATAAAGCCAGATGTGGAGGATCATGCACCTTCCCTGTTGGACCTTCTGCTGACCTATCATCCAGACGGATATCATGTTTCTGTCGACGCTCCTTTAGGCTCGCGGGACCATTGTCTTGTCCGGAGAGTGGTACCACTCACACTAACGTCGCATTTGCATTCTGTAGGCTGCCGTCGTGTTTGCTTACTATAGGTCAGCCGATTGGGATAGGATGCGGTCTTTTATGCATCCTACCCTTGGGGGCGGGTTCGCTTCTCGCCGAAAGATCCCAGCGTTGTTGCTGATGTGGTACTTCAGGGTATGGAAGTTTTCATTCCATCCTCTATGGTGCCCATAGGAGGCAGATCACATAAGCGCTCTTAAAAAGAATTATAATTCCGCCTCCAGGTCCTTCAAAACACGTCTTGCCAGGGCAAAGTCAGAGCACATAGGCAGAATTGTCGAAACGCTAGTTCACCTTCCTTCGGCAACCCGTACATTTTGGTCTCTCGCCAAGGATGTCCAAGGGAAATTCTGTCAGTCATATTTTCCATCTTTGCACAGAGAAGACGACTCACTGGGCCATGCCGCAAAGGTGAAAGCCGATCTGTTAGGGCTCTCTCTTTGCGTCCAAATCGACTCTCGATGACAAGGGGAACACATCATCATCATCATCCATCATTACAGCCCTTCACAAGTCCAATGCTGAAAATAGGCCTCCCCCAAGGAATGCGACAAAGCATGGTCCCGAGCCACCTGCATCCATCGACTTCCTGCATATCTTACCAGGATGCCCAACAATTCGCCTGCCGGTACAAGGCTGCCACTCGAGAACCTTTTTCCCCATCGTTTGTCGGTTCTTCGAGCTATATGGCCGGCCCATTGCGACTTCAGCTTACTAATCCGTTGGGCTATGTCGGTCACTCTGGTTCTACTGCTAATATCCTCATTTCTGAGTTTTCCACGAAGAGAAACTCCAAGCATAGCCCTCTCCATAGCTCGCTGAGCGACCTTGAGCTTCCTCATCCGGCCAGCAGTGACGGACCACGTCTCAGTTCCGTATGTCATCACTGGCAACACGCACTGGTTGTACAGTCTCGTTTACAAGTTTTGAGGTATACCTGACGAGAAGATGTGCCGTAATTTCCCGAACGCTGCCCAACCGAGTTGAATCCGTCGATTGACCTCTCGGTCGAAGTTGGACTTTAGTCAGACTATTTGTCCCAGGTAAACATACTCGTCAACAACTTCAAGCTTAGTGCTCCCGACAACTACCGGCATAGGTGTGACATGGACATTAAACATGATCTTTGTTTTGTCCATGTTCATCTTAAGACCTATCCGTTGGGAAACACTATTGAGGTCATTGAGCATAGTGCTTAGGTCCTCTAGCGATTCTGCCATAAGGACTATATCGTCAGCAAATCGAAGGTGAGTGATGTACTCGCCATTGGTGTTGATACCGTATCCTTTCCAGTCCAGAAGCTTGAAAACGTCTTCCAATGCAGCGGTGAATAGTTTCGGGGATATGACGTCACCCTGTCTTACACCTCTCTGCAATTGGATAGGTTTCGTACTCTGGTTCTGTACTCGGATAGCCATCGTAGTACTACTGTACGAACACTTCAGCACTTCGATACACCGACAGTCAACTTGGCAACGCCGAAGGGACTGCAGCACCGC